AAAGAGGAAGGCGGTACAACATAGCATTCTATTCTTTTGACAGAATATTCAAACTTCTCAATACGGTTACACTGGGCACAAAACTTATTCCTGAATGTTACGTTATTTTTACCGACAACTGGAACGAGATTCCGTAAATTGGATATTTTCAACTCTATGTTATCATCAATTTCACAATTTCGTGAAATCTCATCAATTTTTCTATTCATCGGACACTTATTGACCATCCAAATTGGATATATGCTATCCAAGTATACATGATTCGGTTTTAAACAAGAAATTCTTTGTTCACTAACCTCAAACGAACTTCGTTTTTTCTTTCTGCAGTATTTGTAGTAATCAACACAACAATCGTTGTAGAATGCACACTGAGGATCGCAGTAACAAATTTTCACTATATGAGAGCAATTATTTGAGTCATTTTCACAACAGCCATTGCACGATAACTCGGGAGTTTCACAGTGTCCAGATATGGTTTCATTCTGTTCTTCATGTTTAGTATTCCTCCTAACTCGATATCTGTTAAGTTTCAAACTTGTCTTAATATCATCAGGCAGAGTCAGTGAACCTTGTTTCTTTACAAATTGTTGCTCCCGTTGCACCAAATGTGTGTTATAAACGATTTGACTTTTACCTTCATTGCGTTCTGAAGTGCTCACACTTTGGCATACTAGAATTAGTGTTGTTACTCTACAAAATATGATCAGTTGTTTGACTAAAGTTTGGATGGTAGCCATACTCATGCCCATATGATTTCAACCTTCTACTGATCGATGTGTACATCTGAATGTATTCTTGCGTTTAATTGAGCAATAATATAATTAAAATCAGATCAAATATGTGTTACTTTACACGGTCCTTAATTTCCACGCAAGTTCGGCATTATATAAGCACGTCTCTGCCAAATTTCAAAATTAGAATATTGATACACTTGTAACTGGCAATCATATGGCCGTCATAACGGCTCCAAATAACGTCACAGCGGCACGTTTTGTATAGGTAATAGAATGGTTTCGAGTGCAATTTGGATATAACATGAACGAGTGCTACAGTATTTGAGGTCTTTGAAAAACTCACGAGTACATGTTTATCCAAATTTCACGAGAAACCATACTATTAGTATAGGTAATAGGATGCTTCAAGTACAATTTCGATGATGCACGAAGAGCATCAAAATACCACGTGTTTGATTATCCAAATTTCACGAGAAATCATCCTTAATACGGAATTAATATTATAAAATAACATGTATATAACGCATGCTCTGATTGGTCGAAACCTGTCTTTGGATCAGGCCATCCAAACACGGAAATTTAAAGTGAAATTTTAACACGGAAAGTTGTTATTTTATAAAACAATTACTTTATGTTTTCCGTGTTTGGATGGCCTGATCCAAACACTTGGGAATGTTGCTCTAGTTAAGAAAAGCGTGCAATATTAAAACTAGAAATACATGCATGCATGCAGTAACCCCTCGCCAATAGAAATGACCAACACTGAACGCAGGCTCGCGCTCAAGTGTTGCCATGACAACACGATATTCTTAAATTTTTAATTTCATATTTTTTGTACAAAACTGTAAAATAGTTGAAAGATTCGTACTTTTAGCTATACAACAATAACTTTCCGACATATTTACTGTAGGTATTTTATTTTCCATTTTGTGAGCTTTAATTTAATGTAAAATTTAACTTGAAACGCTTCGTAAAATGTTTTGAAATGTTCATCCAACTCAAATCTACATTTTGCCGATAAACTGTTTTCACTCAGTAATAAAACATAATAAAATAAGTTCAGTGGCATAGCCAGCCAATTTAGTCCCGTTAGCAAATTCAAAATTATTATTACTATTCATTTACAAAATTGATTGTTTTCACAGTCAATGAACACGAGAATATTTGCATAGCGGAACTAAATCGTCGGACTGAATACGCTACTGAATAAGTTTCAATACAAATAAAACAAATTGTTAGGTAATTTCAGTTCAGTCTTCAAATCAATTTGTTCGCCTTTACATTCTAAGATTTTTTCTCAAATTAAACGGTAATTTATGAAACTTAGAGCTTCGTTGAAAAGGAAAAATGTTCATATTTTTAGACAAAAAGTTACTGGAAAGCAACAAAATTCGTAAAGTTGGTCTTGGTGCTATACTTGTCCAATATCCCACCACTAGAGATCACAGTGCTTCGCCACGTATTGTCAGTTATGCCAGTCGGGTATTAACTCCTGTAGAGACCAACTATTCACAAATTGAGCGAGAAGCTCTGGCTATTGTCTGGTCATGACATAAATTTCATCTATATTTATATGGTACCCAATTCTCTGTTAATACTGATCACAAGCCACTGGAACGTCTTTTCAACGACCCACAAAGCAAACCACCTGCTCGTATTGAACGATGGTTATTAAAGGTACAACCATATCGTTTCGATGTTCAGTATCAACCCGGTTCTGACAATCCAGCCGACTTTATGTCCCGCCATCCGTTGCCATCATCACCTACCAGCCATGAGGAGAGATGCGCTGAAGAATATGTTAAATAATTTCGTTTCAATGCATGCTGTTCCCAAGGCCCTTACACTGGAAGAAATCAAAGAAGCCACAAAAGCCGATACCACACTTCAAGCTGTCATTCAAGCAGTTCAAACCAAACAGTGGCATAAGGGACCGGTCATTATTTATGGCGGGGGGTGGCACCGAAGAGAAAAAGGTTGGGTAAACAAAATTTTGAGTAAGTAAAAGGTTGGGTAAATGAAAAACAAAGCAATGCAAGGGTTTGGTAATGAAAATTTATTGTCATTTCCAAAACATGACTCACTGATATTGGAGACTGAAAAGCAATGTCAACAGTCGTATGTCACTACAATATGTGAATCAATTAGAGTGTCAACAGTCATATGTCAATAGAATATGTGAATCATTTGGTAGGCAAATGGTGCATGTCTCCAAAGAAAGTATATGTGCAGACAACAAAGAAAGTACATGTGCAGAAAATTTCACAAGCCGTTTAAAACTCGTGTCACAGAAGTGGTAAAGGAGATATGTGATAACTGAATGGGTATTTATTTTTTAATTGATATTTGAGGTTGGGTAATCAAATTTTTGACTTTATAATGGTTGGGTCAGCAAAATTTTTGCCACGAAAAACATTTCTCTTCCGTGCCACCACCCACCATAAATAATGACCGGTCCCTAATGCCAAACTCCAACTTCGTGTTGATCGCAAGTCGGTAGAATATTTTTTTCACATCCAAAACGAACTGTCAGTTAACAGTGATCAAAATCTCCTCCTACGTGGTACCCGTATAGTCATACCAAGTAAACTTCAAAACCATGTGATAGACCTCGCACACGAAGGCCATCAAGGCATATAACGGAAAAAACAACTCTTACGTGAGAAGGTCTGGTTTCCGACCATTGATAAACAAGTGGAAGAAAAGGTTGCCAAGTCACAACAAACACAAGCAACATTGAACCATTACGTATGCCTGAAGCTAGCAAGAATCCATGGAAAAGTGTATCAATTGATTTTTGCGGCCCGTTTCCCAGTGGCGAGTACTTACTTGTATTGATTGATGACTACTCACGATATCCCGAAGTAGATATTATTAGAACAGTAGCCCATACAACTGTTATTCCCTGTCTTGACAAAATCTTTGCTACTCACGGAATTCCCAGAACAGTTAAATCGGACAATGGCGCAGTAGTAGTAGTAGTAGTAGTAGTAGAACTTTATTTATCCACGCTGACCCCGTCAACCGTAGCTGATTTCCACGGGGGGCGTGTGCCAGAAAATTATTTTACATGCAGAATATGATAAGGATAAGCTAAGCTATTACAGTAATATATAAATTTAAAAGATATAACAAATGTTTTGAGCTATTTACAGGTAAGTTATATTTACAAAGGTTACCAAGCACTAATGTGAGCAGCGATTTTATTTCGAAAGGAAGAAAGTGACTTGCTTTCCCTAATTTCTTTTGGTATAGAATTCCAAATGTTTGCTCCGTCGTACATAAAACTATTTTTCATGCTATTTGTACGTGGTTTTGGTAAATAAAGACCACTTGAGACATCCCGAAGGTGGTAATTAGTTTTCTCACTCTTAAACGAAAATAGATTTGTGAGTGATTTTGGGCCCATTTTGTTTAATAACTTATACATCATTCTTGCTTTAGTTTTCTTCCTTTCAGTTTGGAGTGGCTCCCAGCCCAAAGTACGTAACGCAATCGTATAATCTACGTCATTGCTTATATTCAGAATAATTCTTGCCGCTCTATTTTGCAGTTTTTGCAGTCGTTTTGATTGAGTTTCGCCAAATACATCCCATACTTCACAGCAGTAGTCAAAGTACGGACGAACAATAGTGTTATATATCAAAATAAGTGTATCTTGATCAACAAATGGTTTGATCCGACGAATAGCAGAGATTCCTGCTGTAACTTTTTTGCAAATATTTTCGGTATTACTTTTCCAAGATAAATGCTGGTCAATTGTTACTCCTAGAGTTTTGCATTCATGAACTTGTTTAATTTGTATATTTTCAATGTAAACATTTGGGCAAGAATCAGAAATATTTTTGATCATAGGTTTAGAGCCAATCAACATAAACTCTGTCTTAGCTACATTGAGGCTAAGTTTATTGGCTATTAACCATTTTCTAAGGTTCTCTAAATCAGAATTTACTGCAGTCTCTAGGTCAGTCATAGAATTTGCTGAAGCAGTCAAATTTGTGTCATCAGCAAACAACCGCGGTTTTGTTTTGTTTAGACAATGTGGCAAATCATTGATGTACAACAAAAAGAATAATGGCCCTAATATAGAGCCTTGTGGTACACCACATTTTATCAAGCGCTCAGATGAAAATGAGTTTTTTATTTGGCACTTCTGGTTTCTGTTTGTGAGATAGGATTTGAGCAAAGTTAGAGCTTGTCCTTTTATTCCATAGAGCTCTAATTTGTTCAGCAGAATTTGATGATCAACAGTATCAAAGGCTTTCTTCAAATCAATTAAAACTACTAGGTTAAACATTTTTCTGTCTAGATTTACATACCAATCATTAGTACAGTCTAGTAGTGCACTAGCTGTAGAGTGAAATTTTCGAAATCCAAATTGGGAATCACTGAGAAGATCAAATTTTGTTAAATAGTTATACAGTTGATCATACAATATCCGTTCCATAATTTTACTAATGGCTGGTAAAACTGATATTGGTCTGTAGTTTCCAGGAATACTACGCTGGCCATTTTTATATAGAGGCATCACTCTAGCAACCTTCCATTCATCAGGAAAAGAAGATAAAGTAATAGCCTGATTGAAAATAAGTGTCAGTGAATCTGAGATAACAGGTGCAGCTAATTTAATAATTTTGGAAGAGATTTTATCAATACCAGTGGCTTTATTGTTGGAAAGTCCATGCAAAAGATGAGAGACATGACTGACAGTAACAGGTTGGAAAGCCGCAAATTCTGATTGAGCATTTTTGACATAGGTTTCAAAATTGGAATTGGAATAATCTATTTTTCTAGCTAGATCTGGGCCAATATTTGAAAAATATTCATTAAAGCCCTCTGCAATATCTTCAGGACTTGTCAAATTTTGTTCACCTACATTTAGTTCATTTACCACTGTTGGTTTGTTTTGCGTACCTAACAAGTTGTTTATACTTTT